GTACATTTATATATTTGAGTACCTGTTTTCAGTTACTTTAGGTATTATATTTAGGGGTAGAACTTCTGGGTCATACGGTAATTCTATGTTTAATGTTTGGTGGAACCAACAAATGTTTTTTCCACAGTGGCTGAGTCATTTTTACATTTTTAAAACAAATACATTTAACAGAAGTACATATACTTTTAACACAGCGTATGAGAGTTCCTATTTCTCCATGTTCACTAATTTGGCAAATACATACCAATTACTTTAAGTGTTCAAAATGTAGTGTGGGGCTATAAAGAGGAAAGAAATGGAACTGATATTTTAAGACATAATGAGGCCTGATGTCATCCACTTGATTAAATCATGACTGTATAATCTAATTCATCAAATTCTTCACATCTCACGATTTAAAAAAAAAATTCTTGAAAACAATTGATACGCAGTGTTACATTAGTTCAGGTATAAAACAGTGATTCTACAAGTTTATGTGTTATGTTGTGCTCACCACAAGTGTTATCTACCATCTGTCACCATACAACATTATTACACTATCACTGACTATATTCCTTATGCTGTACCTCTTATTCCTATGACTTATTCATTCCATAACTGGAAGCCTGTATCTCCTACTGGCCTTCATCCATTTTGCCCATCCCCCCACCCCAACAGTGATTCTTAATCCTCACTGCAATTAGAATCACTTGAGAAGCTTTCAGAAATTATAGGCCTGCTACGCTAAAACAGTTAAACCAGAATTTCTGGGACCCAGTTTTCTTTTGTTTTGTTTTTCTTTTTTTTCTTTTTTTTTTTTTTTAAGTAGGCTCCCAGCCCAGCGTGAAGCCCATTGTGGGGCTTGAACTCACGACTCTGAGATCAAGAGTCAGACATTCAACCAACTGAGGCACCCAGGCACCCCATCTTTTGTTTTGTTTTTTAAGTTCCTCGGAGGATTCTAATGTGCAGTGAGGGTCAAGAACTACTCAACTAGGAGAATGGGCTGAAAGATAGAAAAGAACTAATATTTATTAAGCCCTACTTTTATGAGATTTTATTCCAAATGCTTTATTCAATAACTCTAATTTCTATATATTAGCAAATGTATATATATGGTATCCTGACCTACTTCTACCATTTTGAGCCCTGTGTGGTGAACAATCATATTATTCCTAACCTTCAAGGTAGATATTATAATCCTATAATCCCTATTTTACCAATGAGGAAATTGAGGTACAGACCGGTGAAATAACTTGTCTAAGATTATCACATTAGGTAGATACAGCTGGATTCACCCATAAGTCTTTCTGAGACTCCACACTCATGCTCTTTCCACTATACACCATTGCCTAAGAGCCTAGCTTAATTCTCAGAAGAATCCTGGGGTAAGTCTCATGATCTTCATTTTACAGATGAGGAAATGAGTTCTAGACAGGTTAATTTGAATAGGTCACAGCTATTAGGTGGAAAGGCTGGGAGGTATTTAAACTTAGACTTGTTTAACACCAACTATATGCTTATGAAAGTAAAGTATATAGCATATATTCAACATTCAATACAATTCATTACTCTGAAAGAACAGAGGCATGATGGATTATTAATATAATCCAGAATATTATTCTTTTTTAAAAAGATTTATTTATTGGGACGCCTGGGTGGTTCAGTCGGTTAAGCATCTGCCTTCGGCTCGGGTCATGATCCCAGGGTCCTAGGATCGAGTCCCATATCGGGCTCCCTGCTCAGCGGGAAGCCTGCCTCTCCCTCTGCCTGCCACTCCCCCTGCTTGTGCTTTCTCTCTCTCTCCTTAATAAATAAATAAAATCTTAAAAAAAAAAAAGATTTATTATTTATTTATTTATTTATTTGAGAGAGAGAATGGCAGAGGGACAGAGGGAGACAGTCTTAAGCAGACTCTGCTGAGTGCAGAGCCCAACACTGGGCTTGATCTTACAACCCTAGATCATGACCTGAGCAGAAACCAAGAGTCGAGGGCTTAACCAACTGTGCCACCCAGGTACCCCCAGAGCATTATTCTTAATAAGGAGAGCCATCCCTAGGTCTTCCTTCTTAGGTCTCAGGATGCTAAACCTCTGTTGAACCACCAATTCCAGGGGGCTTTTTTTATCGGGGGGAAAGAGGCACAAAGAATTCTGCCATAACCCTCTATCATATTTACCTGAAAAAACTTTAACCCTGGCTAAGTTCAACACTACAATGTCTTCACACCCTTATCTAAGCAGCTGAATCATGCTGATTGGTTTCTTTTTTAATTCATTGTCTCCAACTCAAATGGGCATTCACTACTCAGCAGTTACGCATTTTCCTACTAAGTTCATTTTCCCACTCTAGAGGATATTATTTCATATGATTTCTTCATTTCCAACCCTCCAATGCTCCCTGACAGAATCTCATCCCACCCCCAGGGCACTAGTCTCCATTCTCCGTTGCATTATTGATTTCCATCTTTTCACTGGATCATTCCTTACACTTTACAAACATCCCCTAGCACCTACCTTTAAAACCATCAAAACCAAAAAGGAAAAACCTCTTTTGAACTTTCATCTGCCTCTAGTTATCACCCTACTTCTCTGTTTTCCTTCGCAGCTAAACCTTTGCAAAGCATTGGCTTCATCATAGTCTCCAGCCTCCACCTTTATCAAATCAACCATCTCCATGCACCATGCCACCAAAACTGATATTATCGGGGTCACTAGTGACCTCCTCAGCCTCTCAACAGCCTTTAAAACAGCTTATCACTACCTTCTTCCTGAAAGTTTCTTCTGGCTTTGGTGACTCCATATTCCTTGTCTTCTGTCACTGGTTGCTTCTCAAACTTTTATTTTATAGGTGTATAAATTTGTTTTATAGGTAAGAAGGTTCCTTTTCCTCCACATCCTCACCAACACTTGTTGTTTCTTATGTTTTAGATTCTAGCCATTCTGACAGGTATGAGGTGATATCTCATGGTAGTTTGGATTTGCATTTCCCTGATGATGAGTGATGTTGAGCATCTTTTCATGTGTCTGTTGGCCACAAGATCATGCTTTTAACTGACTGAGCCACCCAGGCACACCCACATTATCATGCTTTTAGATATGGGTTTTCTACCACTTACATAAGGATTGGGTTCTGAAGTCAGCTCATAAAGAGAAGAAACCTCATGATGTAGAATTATTCTCAGAAATTCCTTAAATCACCTATAAAGTCTGGTAGTTGTGGTTTCATACATGTTGATTTTATACATGGTTGTGGCCATATTTATGTGCTGAACTGAAGGCCAACACTTCATTTCCTAATAAGCTCTAAGTCAATTCTTTTCCTCCCATGTTGACATAAGTTGTATTTATGAAGCAACAGTTGAAAGACTTGGGGCTTTCACTTAGGGGCTGTGTTTCAGGAAAAATACTTATTTTTAAAGAGTGGATACAACTGAAACAGCAAGATTCTCCCACTATGAGAGGGTATCAGGGGCTGAATCCATCTGAGAATACAACAGATATACATCACCCATCTCGTGCTTACTCCACACTTGCTTTCCTTGAATGTAAAGGAATTACCCCATTTAAAGTATTCTTAGACTCTTTGGTTGAATACGTATAACTCAACTTTAACAAATTAAATGCTTCTTAGATAGTATTCCATTGTACCATTTATATTTTGATGGCTCCTAAATTTATTTCTCCAGCCTTGACCTTTTTCCCTGAGATTCAGACTTACGGAACCAACTACCTCCTTGGACTTCTCCATTTAAAGTCAACCAGGCATCTTCACATGTCCAAAACAGCCCTTGATTCCTCGCCACCACCACCACTCCCGTATCTCATCCTCACCAAAAAGCTGTTCTTCCATAATGGTTCCTGGCTCAGTAAATGGCATACGCAGGGTTTCAAGCAAAAAATCTAGGAGTGGTCTGTGTGATTCCTCCCTTTCCCTCACTTCCACATAAAATCAATCTGGTACATTTAGCTCTACCTCCAAAATATATCCCAAATCTATCCATTCATTTCCATCAGTACAGAGACCCACCCTAATCCAAGCCACCATCATCATTTCTACTTTGACTAGCCTCCCTCTTTCCACTCTTAGCCTTTCTAGGATTCATTCTCCAAATTGCCAGAGTAATCTTTTATAAAACATTCACTTATTCAGTCACCAAATACTTCTTGAAGAGTGCACAGAAACTGGGAATACAGCAGTAAAGCAAATTAGATCCCTGTGCTCATGGACTTTCATTCTAGAACGGAGAGAGGCAATGCATAAGTGAATAATTTTGTACATTACAAATACAATGAAGAAAATAAATATAAAGCGATATGCTAAATCATGTTGTTCTCTCAGTACAAAAAAAATTTTAATACCTTCACGCTGAGCTTAGATTAAAATCCAAATTTCTTACCATGACTTTGTTATAAGATTCTATGAGATCTGGTTTCTGTTTGCCCCTTCAGCCTTATCTGAACCACACTTCCTCATTACAACTTGGCTCCAGTCACCTAGGCCTTCTATTTCCTCACTGTTCCAAACCTTTCCCTTTCTTCAGACACGTGTTTCCTCTATGTGGAATGCCATTTCCCAGATCTGGGAAGGGCTGCCTTCTCTTAGCTAAAATATCACTTCTCCAGAATGAACCTGACTAATCTACCTAAAAGTGGCTCCCCGGCCCTTTCTCTATCAATTACACCGTTACTTGTTTCATAGCACTTTTCACTTTTGGAAATTATCTTGCTTTTTTAACAATATCTTTGTCTCCACTAAAATGTAAGTTTCCTGAGGTGAGGAATCTTAAGGTGTTGTTCACCAAAGTACCCATAAAAGTCTAAAACAGTGCCCGGCATAAGAGGATCTTGATAAACATTTTTGAAAAGAACAAATAATGTCAGGCTATATGAGGTAAAATGGTTTGGGTTCTCACAGCCGCCAGGCTCCGCCCCCCACAACCAGTTCCGCCCACGGCCCGGCCCCAGACCTTCTGGGGGAGGAAGTTCTCTGCGCAGGCGTCCTGGGACCGCGGTGCTTTCTGGGTAAAAATGGATGCTCACGATCTCTTTCGCCGGCTTGGTGTGGGGGCCAAATTCGACGTGAGACGTTTCTCTGCGGACGCAGCGCGATTCCAGGTACTGTACGCAGGAAAACGGAAGCCCCAGTAACTGAGAGCGCAGGGGCCCGAGAATGATCTGGCTGCTGGGAGAGCCGGCACTGGGAGACCGCGGCCTGGTCGTGGGACATGTTCCCTCTTTGCGTTGGGCTCGTGCTCAGACCTACCTGGTCAAGTCCTGCCTTCGGAGTGAACTCTTAACCATTCTTTTGTAGACTTCGGTGGGCCTAGCACAGAAACCCTTCTCCCTCCCTGCTTTTTAGTTTATTCAAAGCACAGTTAGAATCCTTTCAAAAGTAGCTTTTTCTCCGAAACTGTTAGAAAGGAATTTCGAAAACAGAATGAACCCAAAATGAAGAGAACAGATTCTTTCACTCTAGTCTACCCAGGTTGGCTTGGCATGCATATACCTTTAGTGGGCATGGGTCTTTTTATTCCTGTAACCTCATGACGTGTTAACTAACCAGTGAGAAGAGCGACTTAAAAATGGGGACTCTTACATAGCAAAGTAGTGGGTGAATGGTAAATCGGGAGAAGTCAGTTGGAGCCCAATTATCAGCCTTGACATTGAGCAACACGTGTATTTCTCCTTTCTCTGGCGGTAGGTGTAGTTGTTGAGTTTGAACTCTGGAGCCGGATTATTTGGGTCCAAATACTGGATCTGTCACAACTTTCGAGACCTCAAGTTATTTGACCTCCTAATGCCTTGATTTTTTTCATCTATAATATCGCTATTTACTCCTTAGCGTTGTTGAAGGATGAAGTAATTTAATATATATAAGCATGCTTAGAAGTCTGCCTGACAGCATATAGGTGTTATGCTGATAAGCATATAAATGGTAATTACTCTTATGATTATTACAACAGTTAAAAGGTCAGAAAAGTTATCTTGTATTCCATTTGCTCAAACACACTTGGCAGCTCGCTCAACAGATACTTGGTGAACGGATTAAAAAAAGGTGGGGAGTTATTAGACCCACGCCCTTACTGCCAGTATTGCTTGGGTGAAAGCAATGTCAGTCTGTCAGTAGATTGCATTTTAAATTTTTTGGGTTTTAGGTAGGAAAAAGGAAACATGACTTTGATTCTTCAGAGGTGCTGCACAGACTGGACTTCTTTGGAAACAAGAAGTCTGTTCCAGGTGAGTGTGGAGCATCAAGAACTCATCAGGAGCTTAAAGATGAAGAGAAAAAAGAAGAGAGCCTAATTGAAAAGAAGAGGGAACAGAGCAAGAAAAAGAGGAAAATGATGATGTCAGGTTAGTTCTTGGTTTCTTTTTTTTCCTTTTTTTTTTCCAGTTACAAAAATAATACAGGCTTAAGGTTACAAATCAGTATACTGTCATTCATTAGTTAATGGCATTCAGGTTGTTTCCAGGTATTTGTCATTACAAATATTGCTACAATAAAGATACTTATGTATATATCCTTTTGTACAGGTTCTGTTTGTTTTTTTTTTTTTTTTTGAAGATTTATTTATTTATTTGAGAGAGCGAGAATGAGAGAGAGAGAGTACATGAGCGGCGGGGAGGGTCAGAGGGAGAAGCAGGCTCCTTGCTGAGCAGGGAGCCCAATGCGGGACTCGATCCTGGGACTCCAGGATCATGACCTGAGCCGAAGGCAGTCGCTTAACCAACTGAGCCACCCAGGTGCCCCTGTACAGGTTCTGTTATTTCTGTAATTAGCATCCCCAAAGTGGAGTCACTGGCTGAAAGGGTATGCACACTTCTTTCTTTTGAGTAGATAATGAAAAATGACTTCCCACATCTGTGTCAATGCTGGATAGTATTGGTCTTAAATTCTTTGTCAACCTAATGAATGAAACTAATTTTTGTATATATTTTCTTGATAACTGGTGAGGTTGAGCATGTGTTCATATGCTTTAGTGGATATTTATATCTCCGCAATTGTGAATTGTCTGTTCTTACTCTGCCTATTTTTCACAGGGTTTTTTTTTCTGTACTTAGGGATATTGATCTTTTTCTTGGTTATATCTGTTAAGTTTCCTAGCCATTTACCTTTTTCAGTAAAGTAAATACTTACACCTGGTTTTTAAAAGTTATACAGTGGTGAAAAGCAAATTTTCTTCCCACTATTTATAGTCCCCTATTTCTCCAGAGGCAACTGCTGTTAATCATTTTCTTATGTATTTTTATAAAGATACCTATTCACTATATTTATACCTCTCTTTAAAAACCTGAACAGTAGCATACTGTATCTGTCCTATTCTGAACCTTCTCTCCTCCTCCACTTTAAAAAAAATACATACACACGCACACACACATATCTTGGAGATTGTTTGGAATCAGTAGGAAGTGCCCTGCCTTTTTCATTTTAACACAAAATATATCCCATTATACATTCCATAATTGACTTAACAAGTTCGTTTATGATGGACATTTAGTTTGTTTCCTCACTTTTGCTATTACAGTGTTGCAATAAATGCCATTCCACTTATCTTTGTGTGTATGCGGGTGTATCTGATAAATTCTTAGAAATGGAATTTCAGAGTTAATCAATAGGTTTATTTTAAGTTTAGGTATCTTGAAATTGTCCACCAGAAACGTTGTATCAGTAGGAAGTCCACTGCTTTGTTCATTGAATCATAGTATAGTATGCCATTACACATTATACGGATGTTCCGTAATTGACAAGTCCACATGTCAGGGACATTGACTTCGGTTCCACACTTTTGCTGTTACAGTTTTACACATTTTACTTCCCTGACAGCAAGGAAGTTCGATAAAGCCTTCCACCAAGAGTAGTTAAAAAAAAAAAAAAAAAGCCCTGCCACAAACTGGGGAAAAGGATTCAACTATTGGGCAGCCAGAAACACACAGATATGTACTATAATGTAGCACATATGTGGCATAGTACAAATTTGTAATGTGGCATACCATGTTTTGATTGGACAACTAAATATTTTCTCCCTGAGGTGATCTATAGAATCAATGCAAAACAAACTCAACTAAAATTCCAGTAGGCTTTTAAGGTAGAAATTGACAAAGGACTTTTTTAAAAAGTTAGACATACACCTACCAAATGACCCACCTATTCCATTCCAAGAATTTACCTAAGAGAAAGGAAAATCTGTGTCCTCACAAAGACTTCTACACAGGTGTTCATAGCACTATGCTTTATTTTCAGTAGCCAAAAACTGGAAATGACCCAAATGTCCTTCAACAGGTGAAGGATAAACAATTTATATATCCATAAAGTGGAATACTACCTTTAAATAAAAAATTAACTATTGATACATGCTCCAACGTGAATGAATCTCAAAATAACTATTCTGAGTGAAAGAAGCCAGACTAAATTTAGTACATACTACATGATTCCATTTATATAAAATTCCAGAAAAAGCAAATTGACCTACAGTGACAGAAAGCAGACAGGTGGTTGCTTAGGGATGGAGCAGTGCATTACAAGGGGCCACAAGGAGATTTTGGGTGGTGTTGGAAATAAACTTGAATGTAATGATGATTTAACAGATCTATACATATGTCAAAATTCCTCAAATTGTATACTTTAAATAAATGCAATTTATTGTATATCAGTGGTACCTCAGTGAAGTGAAAGAACTTTATTTTTTGTTGGAGAAGCAGACTCCCCATTGATCAGGGAGCCTGACTCCGGCCTCCATCCCAGGACCCTGAGATCATGACCTAAGCCAAAAAAAGAGAGAGAGAAAGTGTGAGTGGGGAGGGGCAGAGGGAGAGGGAGAAAGAACCCGAAGCAGACTCCGTACTGAGCACAGAGCCTGACTCAGGTGTCAATCCACAACCGTGATATGACCCTGAGCTGAAACCAAGAGTTGGATGCTCAACCAACTGAGCCACCCAGGCACCCCTCCACATGAACTTTTAAAGTCAGCTAGTCTGGTTTCCAAAACAATCCTGCCATGACTTTTCATTGAACTAATTTTAGTTCTAGATTAGTGAGAATTACTATCTTCATATTAGTGACTAGTCCTTAAGTACTGTGCTGTGTTCATCACTATTAAAAGTGAAATCTATTCTTTCATCATATTTATTTTCTAACTGGTTGAATATAGAAAAGCCGGCTGCCTTATTGAAATCTCTTATTTAAGTATTTTCAATTTAATCTGTTATTGTTTTCAAGTATACAGTCATCTACGATCACACAGCTGAAATAACTAATGAAAAGAAGAGAATGAACTTCAGAGCTCTGATTTTACCGACAAGAGAACTTGCCTCTCCTTTTTCCAATTGTTATTCCTCCTATTACTTTCTTTTCTCTGTTGTGTTAGCTAGTACTTTACTTGTGTTTAATGTGATGCTGTGGCCTGTTTGCTACTCTCAAGAATGTTGCACTTAAAAATCTTTTGATTTTTTAATATATATTTTAGAAATTACTTCTCAAGAAGAAGGTTCTACTATACAGTGGATATCATCTGTAGAAGCAAAGATTGAAGATAAAAAAATTAAAAGAGATAATAAACTAACTTCAGGAAAGTTGGAGAATCTCAGAAAAGAAAAGGTTAGAAAAATGACTTAGCCCCAGTTGCTTTTCTGACCTAGTGAATTTTTCCTTGTCCTTGGGTTATTCTCTTGGTAAAAGTGAATATAGTTTTGTGAAGATAGAAGATTATATTAGTTTAGAGTTCACTTTAATGGAAACTTAAAGTAGGTATTTGTGCTGTGGCTGAAAATTTTAAAGTTTAAAATTCCACCCCCCCCCTTAAGATTATTTATTTGAGAGAGTGAGCGAGAGAGAGAGCGCAGGAGAAGGGGCAGAGAGAGAGAGAGAAGCAGACTCCCCTGCCGAGCCGGGAGCCCGATGCGGGGCTTGATCCTAGGACCCTAGGATCATGACCTGACCTGAAGGCAGACACTTAACCAGCTGAGCCACCCAGGCACCCCTAAAGTTTAAAATTCTTGAAAGTATCTTTAAACTTGAACAGGTCAAAAGATTTGGTGTGTGTGTGTGTTTCTTCTCATATTCTCATATACTATATACTGTGAATTTTTGACCTGTCCAAATTCCCATTTGGAATGAAATTTTTAAAATTTCATATCCCCTTTGATAAACATAAAATTTGCCCCCTTTCTCCTCTTTGTTAAGCTCACTGGTTTATTTATTATTTTTTCAAGATTTTATTTATTTTACAGAGAGCACAAGCAGGGGGAGCAGCAGCAAAGAGAGAGGGAGAAGCAGGCTCCTTGCCAAGCAGGGAGCCCAACTCGGGGCTCCATTCCAGGGTCCCGGGATCATGACCCAAAACTCAGTGGTTTAGAAAGATTTCCTCTGACAGAGATTTGAGAGTTAGTTAGAGTTCTTTTTTTTTTTTTTTTTAAGATTTTATTTATTTATTTGAGAGAGAGCACGAGCAGGGTGGAGGGGGAGAGGGAGATGGAGAAGCAGACTCCCCATTGATCAGGGAGCCTGACTCTGGGCTCCATCCCAGGACCCTGAGATCATGACCTAAGCCAAAGGCAGATGCTTAATGGACTGAGCCACACAGGTGCCCCAAGAGTTAGAATTAAGAAACCTATTTTATACCTTGGGGGGAGTAGAATACAGAACAAATAACAAATACATCATTGTTATGTCTACTGCGCACCTGCTGTGTTGCAGATGAAGAGTATTGTTCAGCTCACTTCAGTAACCCTGAATCCAGAATTTGGCTGTCATTCTCACAGAATGGGAAAACAAACCAAATCAACACCACTTGACTCTGCTTTTGGCCCTCAATTTTAATAAATAGAGTTTAGAGTAAATCATCAAAAAGCATTGGCATTAGTGTGCTAAGTGTCATATAAAGAAAAAACTAGATGGATTCAATGTCTGCCTTCTAGAAGCTTATATAAAATTATAAGTTATGATTATCATCGTGGCACATTAATATAAATAACCATTACTCATGCCATTGACACATTAATACAAGAAAATGGATAGATAAGTTTTATTGTTATGAAGGTCTTCTGTCTATGAAAGGGCATGAAGTGTATCTAATATCTGTATCTTTTAGGGCTTGGAATTTAACCAAAAAATTTCATATGTTACTAAAACTTATCCTAGAAACCGTTACTGTTGCTTTACAACATCTCACAATGTATGTGACAGTCTGTGACCCCTTTATTTCACTTTTCAGATAAACTTCTTCCGGAATAAACACAAAATTCATGTCCAAGGAACTGATCTTCCTGACCCAATTGCTACATTTCAGCAACTTGACCAGGAATATAAAATCAATTCTCGACTGCTTCAGAACATTCTAGACGCAGGCTTCCAGATGCCTACACCAATCCAAATGCAAGCCATTCCAGTTATGTTGCATGTGAGTATGATGGTCTAGAATCCCTTTAACATTCCTTCCTCTGTGTGTTAGCTCATTCTCTTCCCTGTTTTTGAAGTCTTCCTCTCTACTTTGTCTCTCCCTGTTGAAATCCTTCCTTTGCTTTTAAGGTCCATCTCAAATGCCTGGGCCTCCATATCACTACAATTAGCCGTGATCTTTTTCTTTTACCAGCACTCTTCCCTCTACCACCAGTTTTCCAAGGTATTTAATGTCTTCTTTTTTTTTTTGCAACATTTATCTTAAACTTTACCCTACTATATAGTTATACTAATTGTGTATACCTTTTACATTTTACTAGAGTGTAAACCCTCTGAAGATAGAAACTATGTTCTGTTTATTCATCCATGATTTAGTTTATTATTCCTAGGAAATATTTCAGAATTAGCGAATTCTTGTACATAGCCTGACTTCTTTTTCCCCAGTACTTTTTGTTATTGAAGTATACTTTATATACAGTAAAATGCATAGATTGTAAGTTCACAAACGGAGACGTGTTACATTTCTGTCACCCCAGAAAATTCTGTTGTGCCCTTTCCATTCAGTCTGCACCTCACCCCTGCCCAGGGAACTGCTGTTCTGATTTTTATTGCCATGTATTAGTTTTGCCTCTTTTATAGACTGTCATATAAGTGGTATCATCCATTATTTTTTAATTTGTGGTTTCTCTCACGCTGCATATTGCTTTTGAAATTCATTCACATTGCACTTACAGTTTGTCAGTGAGTAGTATTCTGTTGTTTGAAAATACCACAATTTGTTTATCTACTGTTGATAAAGGCATGGGTTAACTTAGAGTTTCGGAAATTAAATTTTTCTGAGGTTTTTTTTTTTTTTGTCCCTATGAGAGCTGACTTTGTCCCCCATGTAGCCAAAGAATAGGAGTTACCTTTTCATCCGTACTAGTCCTTTTTGTTTTCTTTGGGAACTGAAGTGAGAATACATTTGAATAATGTTGTTGTCTCACATTATAGTAAATTTGCTTTTAATTTTCGTCTAAGATTGTTTCTGTTACAACTTCAGCTTAAAGCTCTAAAAATCGTAGTGACGTTTTAAAGACTGTCACCTAAAATAACTGTCACTCAAGTTTTTTTTTTTTTTTAAGTTATTTATTTGACAGAGAGAGAGACAGCGAGAGAGGGAACACAAGCAGGGGGGGAGTGGGAGAGGGAGAAGCAGGCTTCCCGCTGAGCAGGGAGCCCGATGCGGGGCTCGATCCCAGGACCCCGGGATCATGACCTGAGCCGAAGGCAGACACTTAACGACTGAGCCACCTAGGTGCTCCTGTCACTCAAGTTATTACCACTTTTTATTTCTTATCTTTAGCCATTCTGTTACTTACTAAAACTGTCCCTAGGGATTGAGCAGTACAGATATCGGGGAAAAGTTGGTTTTATAAATTTGCTTTGATAAGAGAGTTTGGTGGGAAAGAAAAATTGAAATAATGGAAATACTTGAGGTTTTGAATTATCTTTGGATTTTAGTTATCCATATTCTTTACCCAGGTCAAATGGTATTTGGTGGCAACGGTCAGAAACTCCTTTGGGGCACTGGTGGCAAGGGTGGATGATGTTAGAAAAGCAAATGTGGGAAAAGTTAGACAAGCAGTGGGAATATGAATGATTACATTCATTATGATTATTTTGTTATTTCTATGGCTGGTTGTATTACTTGACCAGGATCTGAAAAGTTTTTGTACTTACCTTATACTTAATATACCTTGTTTTTAGGGTCGAGAACTTCTGGCTTCTGCTCCTACTGGATCTGGAAAGACTTTGGCTTTTAGCATTCCCATTTTGATGCAACTAAAACAACCCACAAATAAAGGCTTCAGAGCTCTGATTATATCACCAACACGAGAACTTGCCAACCAGGTATGACTTGTAGCTTCGAAAGAGGATATATTTGGTGTTTGCTTTAGTCATTTCTTATTTGAGGGTAGTAAAATGGTCTCAAAAAGAGTAAGGCCCATGTCTTTTGGCATAGGCAAATATTCTGTACTGTATCTTATTCTGTTCTGTAACTTACTACACATGGGCAAGTTTTTTTGAATCTTTTTATAATTTTCTAAAACAATGATTTAAACATTAATGATGTTTCTTTGGCAGATGCTCTAAGATCTTTTAAGTTGAGGCTACTGAGGCTACTGGAATATATAGTCCCTCTCTAAAATGTATTTTTCTCACCTAGAAAAATGAAACCTCACCTCAGTTTTTGAGAAAGAAAAACTACACAGTGACCTCCACTCTTCCAATGTGCTTAATAGAAAATACATGCCAAGCATGAGATAACTTTCTAATAGCACTGTATTCCAAAAACAGTATGTAGCAGATTGCAAAATGCCAAGATTCCAGGTTAATGCACATATTTTTATGGGTTTAATTTCAGTTATTCATGGGATGGTAATAGGTCTATTTTAATAATGTAAACAAGACTATACATCTTATGTAAATATCTTAGCACCTAATATTTTTGTCATTTGCCATTTTAGATTCACAGAGAGTTAGTAAAAATCTCGGAGGGAACAGGATTCAGGATACACATGATCCACAAAGCAGCAGTGGCAGCCAAGAAATTTGGACCTAAATCATCTAAGAAGTTTGGTAAGGGATTCATGCTTGAGATATAGAGCGTATAAGGGATTTGCAAATTACAAATATCCTTAACTGCCACCTAAGAGTTCTTAAAAGTGTAGTCATACACACAATTAGTTTGGTTTTTAGAGAAACTGAAAGAGATTTCTCCACTCCCACTCGGTACTTATATACCAGTGATTCTCATCCAGAGGCAGTTTTGCCCCCCACCTCACCTTCCACCCCAGGGACATTTGGCGATATCTGGAGACATTTTAAGTTGTCAGAACTGGGGTGCTAACCTATGGTAGGTAGAAGTAACAGCATCCCACAATGCACAAGACAGTCCCCTACAACAAAATGTTATCTGGACCAAAATGGCAGAACCGCTAAGGCTGAGAAACCCTGTTTTATACTATTGATTTTTGATCTGCCATGGAAATACTCTGCAGATAAGAATGGCTTACATCCCTACCCTTGTATCAGTCAGAAAATCAGCTTTTACCTGTCTTTCATTTTGAGCTTCTGAGTAAAATTTCATTTAAAGAAAGGATTTTCCAAAAAAACAAAACTAAATATTTGAAAATAACACTGTTGGATTATAGTGTTCTTGCCTCTTAGAAGTTGAGAAGGCAGATCAAACATAATAAAAGGAAGAGTAAGCATATAGTAGTTTGTGCTATGATGGATTAAAAAATACATATATTAGCTCACAAATAAGAAAGAACTTTTGTGGGGTTGGTGTAGTAAGATAGCAAGTATAACCGCCCCCTCCCCTCCCCTCTTCAGGTTCTTCACTGAAATTCAGGAGGCTGAATTCCCTTGTTTAAGAGAGATGAATCTTGCTTTTGCAATTTGTATCATTTGTTTTTTCTATAGATATTCTTGTGACTACTCCAAATCGACTAATCTATTTATTAAAGCAAGATCCTCCAGGAATAGATTTAACAAGGTACAGATAATATTTTAATCTCTTCTGTGTGTATTTTCGTTTAGTTGATTCTATTTTGTCCTTGACTGCTTGCCCTATGGCCCGTTGGAGCTTGCTATCTGCCAGCTTTCAGTCAGTGTTGGTGCTGAGAATAATGGTTTTCATTAGACTTGTAGGAAAGTAACTGTCTGGTCTGGAAGAAAGTTACAGATTCTGATAAGCAGTTAGTACAGAATTCCCCTAGATGTTTTCACTTCTTTCAGCAATGGTGATGGAGTTTATAAGGTTTATGTGAAGCTCTGTTGTTGCTAATGGAACCTCATCTCTTTGAGGCTGAAGGAATAGAACATTGCTTAATGTTTATCTTGTTTTTACCTTTTTCCTGTTGATTTTTCTTTTACCTTTTTCTGGTATGATGTGTGGATCTGAGAAGTAGCATAATGGTTTGACTACTTCATGTGTCCCCACAGTTTAGTGAAGTGTCTTGGATCTTCCATCCAGCTCAGTACCCACAAGATGTTTTGTTATTTCTCAGTGTCGAGTGGCTGGTAGTAGATGAATCAGACAAACTGTTTGAAGATGGCAAAACTGGGTTCAGAGACCAGCTGGCTTCCATTTTCCTGGCCTGCACATCGCATAAGGTCAGAAGAGCTATGTTCAGTGCAACTTTTGCATATGATGTTGAGCAGTGGTGCAAACTCAACCTGGACAATGTCATTACTGTATCCATTGGAGCAAGGTAATTGTTCTTCTTTGTTATCCCACTGATTTTTTTTTTTTAATACAAGTCCCCCCTTTTTTTTTTAGACTCAAGGAGACAGGTTGTTTGGCCTTAGATTAGTAACAGGGAAAGTTTTACTGAAAGACATGTATTCTTTAAAGTCAAGATTGAGTAAGGATTTTCTATTTTATTTATTTTTTAGAGAGAAAGGTGAGGGGGAGGGGCAAAGGGAGAGGGAGAGAGAGAGTCTTAAGTAGGCTCCATGTCCACTACAGAACCTGACATGGGGCTCAATCTTAAAACCCTGAGATCATGATTTGAGCCGAAATCAGGAGTCGGACACTTAACTGACTGAGCCACCCAGGTGCCCCAAAGATTTTCTATTTTAGAATAATCCAAAGGGAGATTCTCAAATTATCGTATTAGTATTTCTGTCATTATTTTTTCAGTTGATTTTTCCCATCTACCCATAAAGTGTGACAGGAGCTTTATAGCCACCCAGAGGATTTAGTTTCTTTGATGGCTTAAGTAGGACCATAGAGCCACTTAGTTTATAATCCTTTTAAAAAATATTAGGGGAAGCATTTTATACTAAATGAATGTGCACTAGTAGAAAAATGTTTTAGGAAATTGTAATATAGACACGTGATAGAATATTATGCGACCCATGAAATGGTAAGTATGAAGACTGTGCTTGGGGGCACCTGGGTGGCTCATTTGGTTAAGTGTCTGCCTTCAGCTCGGGTCATGATCCCAGGGTCCTGGGATTGAGCCCCATGTTGGGCTCCCTGCTCAGCGGGGAGCCTGCTTCTCCCTCTACCTCTGTGTTCCTTCTCTCTCTCTCTTTTTTTTTTTTTAAAGATTTTATTTATTTGAGAGAGAGAGAATGAGAGATAGAGAGCACGAGAGGGAAGAGGGTCAGAGGGAGAAGCAGACTCCCCGCTGAGCAGGGAGCCCGATGTGGGACTCGATCCCGGGACTCCAGGATCATGACCTGAGCCGAAGGCAGTCGCTTAACCAACTGAGCCACCCAGGCGCCCTCTCTCTCTCTCTTAAGTAAATAAATTTTTTTTTAAAAAGTGCTTGGAATACCATATTAAGTAAAATAGAAGCCAAATGGAACAATAAAAAATACTTTAAACTTAAAAACATCTGTTTATAAAAAGAAAGAACAAATACACCATAAATATAAAGGCAGAAAACAGAAGGGAGGGGTGCCTGGGTGGCTCAGCGGGAAGCCTGCTTCTCCCTCTCCCACTCCCCCTGCTTGGGTTCCCTCTCTCGCTGTGTCTCTCTCTGTCAAATAAATAAATAAAATCTTAAAAAAAAGGGGGGGAAAAATATTTATGATGCAGTGTAATGTACTACAGCAACATTTTTCTTTAAGATTTTATTTGTTTGAGAGAGAGCGCAGAGAGATGGGGAGAAGGATCAGAGGGAAATGGAGAAGCAGACGCCCTGCTGAGCAGGGAGCCTGACATGGGGCTCGATCCCAAGACCCTGCGATCATGACCAGAGCCAAAGGCAGACGCTTAACCGACTGAGCCACCCAGGCGTCCCTCTACTACAGTATCTTATTAGTGTTTATAAAGCCTTTTAAGGCTCACCCCCAGCTGTCTATAAAAAAGCTCTTATTAATCGTTAAGAGAAAAAGCTCAGACCTGTAATAACCTTAAAAATGTTATCATTATTTTATCCAGTATTTTATTTTTAGAAATTTTTGTATGTAAATAATTAGATACATGAAAATTTATGATTAGACTACAACAAAATGTCACAATTTATTCTAAAATGGTAGAATTGTAGACAATTTGTTTTACTGTTTACATTTTTCCCATTTTTCAAATTTTTTTTAGATAACTTTTTTTTTAAAGATTTTATTTATTTATTTGACAGAGAGAGCGAGAGAGGGAACACAAGCGGGGGAGTGGGAGAGGGCGAAGCAGGCTTCCTGCTGAGCAGGGAGCCCAATGCGGGGCTCGATCCCAGGACCCCAGGATCATGACCTGAGCCAAAGGCAGATGCTTAACGACTGAGCCACCCAGGCGCCCCTAGATAACATTTTTATAATTAGAATAAAACATTTAAAAATAACTTTGGGGGGCACCTGGATGGCTCAGTCAGTTGGGCATCTGGTTCTTGGTTTCAGCTTGGGTTGTGGTCTCAGGGTCGCGGGGTCAAGCCCCGAGTCGGGCTCCATGCGGAGTCTGCTTGTCCCTTTCCCTTTGCTCCTCCCCTGCACATGCAAGCACATTCTCTCTCTCAAATAAACAAATAAAATCTTTTCAAAAACAAATGAAAAATAAAAATAACTTTGGGGCATCTGCCTGGCTCAGTTGGAAGAGCATGCGACTCTTGATCTCAGGGTGATGAGTTCAAGCCCCATGTTGGGTGTAGAGATTACTTGAATAAATTAAACTTTAAAATAAATAAATAACTTTGTCTTCATATTAAAGTATAAATAATTAAATGCTTATATGGACAATGGAAAACTTGATTCTGTTGGGGTTATATGTAAATTTTTTAATTTATTTAGAATTCGGGGGGAAAAGCAAAAATTGGCTCTTGCAATCTACAAGGTATGTTTTCTTTTCAGGAATTCTGCAGTAGAGACTGTAGAACAAGAGCTTCTCTTTGTTGGGTCTGAGACTGGGAAACTTCTGGCCATGAGAGAACTTGTTAAAAAGGTATATTTGGGCTATCTTCTTGAATTTTGATGAAGTTCATCAAATCTTTTTTTTTTTTTAAGATTTTATTTATTTATTTGCCAGAGAGAGACACAGCAAGAGAGGGAACACAAGCAGGGGGAGTGGGAGAGGGAGAAGCAGGCTTCTCGCTGAGCAGGGAGCCCAATTCGGGGCTCGATCCCAGGACCCTGGGATCATGACCTGAACCAGAGGCAGACGCTTAACGACTGAGCCACCCATGCACCCAAGTTCATCAAATCTAATATGACTGGTGGGAGCCTGAGCACTATTCCTATATCATATTTAGTAATCTAGTGGTAAATTCTTAAGCACATTGAGTCAACTGTTGTCCTAAGCAGGGAGGCTCACCACTTAGATTTAGATTAAGTTTTCTGTTCCCAGCTCAGGGTGGGCTAGGAAAAGACCTCCCTGATGCCCTAAAAACCTCCTTTTTCCACATCTACATCTGTTTTGGCTCATTTCATCTCCCCCCATCCCTCTGCTGGTTTCTTCTAGAACTCTAGGAGCATTGTAGAATGAGTAACATACTGAGTGTGGTTTTCTGTTTTTATCCTTTCAGTAAATACTGAGTAGAAGCCATAACTTAAAAGTTAACTGTGAGGGGTTAGGGCAGCGGAAAATAAAACAAATAGAAATCTTAAGCCCTGCCCCTAGAATTTAGTCTTTTTTTTAGGGGATAATAGACTTGTGTAAGATAGTTTGCAATAAAGTGTCATAAAAGGCTATAGAAAGTTTTTCTTAAGCACCCATGTAGTCATAATGGGGCCAAGAGGGAGAGTTGAATTGGTTGGGGAAAGCCTTTTGGGGGAAATGCTACTAATTTGGTCCTCAGAAGGATCTGTGAGATAAGAGGGCAAGGGAAGTTGATGGTTGGAGGAGCAGCTGGAGTAGTCTAAGCAGTGGAGGGGAACAGAGTGGGTTTAGAGACTTATGAAGAGATTACCTATCTAAGGCAAAGAGTTTATGGTGAGAATTAAAGAAGATCAAGTTGAATAGGAAGGTTGGGGTCACTTTAAGAGAAACCACTGGACATTTGAAGAAATTTAAGGAAAATTACTTAAACAGCGGTATATAAAATGTAATGGCAAGAGACTGAAAGTAAAGAAACCAATCAGTAGGTTGTTAAATTAGGCTGGTTAGAGATGAGGAGGAAATAAATGAGAGAAATGAGGGTGACAGCCTCAATGGTGGAACGTTAAGAATAGTTGGAGGGTGAAAGGGAAAGGTGTTTGCAAGTACCTAGTGACTACAGAAGTGGTTAAGAGCTTGACCTTTGGAGCCAGACTACCTGAATTGGAATTTTAGCTTTAGGCAAATTAACTTCACAGCTTCCTCATCTGTAAAATAGAAATGATAATATAGAATTGTTTTAGTATTAATAACTTGATACAAACATAGTACTTAGAATAGTGTTCGGCACACCATGCCATGTACATTTGTTTCATTACTATTCTTAAAGGTATCATTTGGCACTAGGAATTTTAAGGTTTTCACATGGGTACTCACATGGAGATTATATATCAGGGATTTCTAGCCATGTATGAGCTTAGGAGGTCTGTGAACCCCCTGAAGTTGTTAGATTTTGTGTGCATGTATGGTTGCCTATTAGAAAGCTTCACAGCTTTATTAGATTTCAAAAGGGGAGATTATGAACCAAAATAAAAAGGTAAAGCCCTAATAGGGCAGTTGAAAATAGAGAAAGCTGGTTTGAGAGAGAGGTGGGGTTTGATGATAGAAATGTAAAAATCATCTGGTTAGAGTGGGTAGTTGATAACTGAGATTATATTTAACATAAGATAATGACTATATTGAGAGAACTGAGAACCAAAGACTGAGCTTTGGAGGAATACCCACAATTAGGATAAACAGTGAATTAATAAAAGTTACTGCATTTTAGCAGAATTTAAAAATCTCTGAGCGCAGAAGCCAAGAGATGATTGTTCTAGGGAGTGGGTATCTATCATTATAGGAAGGTAAAGGGGATTAATTAGACATGATTGTTGGAATTGGCAAGATGGAAATTAGAGTTTAAGTTGAGTAGAGAATGGATGGTGAAGAAGATGGAGGCAGATACTGATCTGAGAAATTTGGCAATAAAAAGTACACTAAATTGAATTGGGTTCTTTTATGAACTAAAATCATATGAAATACTGCTATTGTATTCTTGATTATGGGTTATATGTGCTGATTTTTGCCTTCTCTCTTTTAGGGTTTCAATCCACCTGTTCTTGTTTTTGTTCAGTCCATTGAAAGGGCTAAAGAACTTTTTCATGAGCTCATATATGAAGGTATTAATGTAGATGTTATTCATGCAGACAGAACACAGCAACAGGTAAAGTCAAGTGTATACTTTCAAAATGATAAAGAACTACTAAACTTTAAGATATTGGCATGAAATTTATAAAGTACTTGTTTTCTGTTCCTAGTAGTACTAAAACATTTAACATGTGTTTTACTAACCAGAGAGATAACACAGTCCACAGCTTCCGAGCTGGAAAAATCTGGGTTCTTATTTGTACAGCCTTGCTGGCCCGAGGGATTGATTTTAAAGGTGTGAACTTGGTGATCAACTATGACTTTCCAACCAGTTCAGTGGAATACATCCACAGGATAGGTGAGTTGTCTCTCCTGCTGCTACCCCTCTGCCCCCCACAACCTCTGCCACCCCCGGCCACTACTCGTCTGTCTTGCGCCTACTCCTTCCCTTCAAACATGCTCATTTTGTAGTGCTCATTTTAGTGAAAAGCCAATGACTTGTATGTGAATCTTGAAGTTCCCTTTCCCCAGAAAAGCGGGTTTTTTATGGTCTGGTTTTTTTTTTTTTAGGTCGAACTGGAAGAGCAGGGCATAAAGGAAAAGCTGTTACTTTTTTCACTGAAGATGATAAACCATTATTAAGAAGGTAAATTAGGAAAAATAACTTAGTATTAAGATGGCAAGACTGCTTCATTATTCTTGTATGCACACACAATCAACAGATAATTACAAAATGGCCAGGTCCCAAATACGGTCATGGCATTAGTCAACCAGGTTTTAGCCATGACAAAAGGAAAAATGATCAGAGGGCTTTGTTTTTGCATTTTCATTATTAGAATTTGGAAGTATTCATAATGGAATGTTCATTATTAAATTTCAGACTCACAGGATTCTCCCAATAGCCATTGGCTGATACTACTCACAATGTAATAGTGAAGTTTTTGGATTAGTGAATAAAGTTAACCCCTGAGTCTCTTCAGCCCAGTCGAAATTATCTCTTACCATGATGCACACTTCCCTTTACTCTTATGGGCAGATGGAGTTTTATATTTAGTCCTGGGAAAAACCATTTCAGTAACACACTCCCAATATTATTCAACTGTAGCTCTTTGAAGCCTGGGTAACACATGTACTTTTAGAATCTTGGGTCTTAATTTAGCCCAGTATCATAGATCTTAAAATAAAAGCTGAGTTTCTTACATTTTGGCTGCCTACAGTAATTTTAGACTGATGATAGCACTTTGCATTTCTAACCAATGAAATTGAGTTATGGCCAAAGGCAGTTTGTACTTTGATGTGTTTATCAGTTTTGGCAAAGATTTTGATTTGTGCCTTCTGAACCTTGGCTTTGTCAGCCTTGGATATACTTTGAGCAGACTTTACACGTTCATGTGTAGGGGAGTCTATTCCAAAAGCCTAGATTCACCTACATCTCTTCAGTAACTCCAAGCATGTGAATTTGATGACCTCCATGTCAATATAACCATGCCTCTCAGTTTTCCATCCAGGCAAGGGGGATAATAATAGTATGTCGTTAGTAAAGGGTTGTGTGGATTTGGATTGAAGAAGTCACATGTGAAAAGCCTAAGACAGTGCCAAGTGCATAGTAAGCACTATCATCTAATAAATTCTAGTCAGTGTCCTCATCCAAGATTGGGTTAGTAGCTTTTCAGGGCTTGGTAAATGTTGGGGAGAAACGGCTGCTAGATAAAATTACTCATTGGCACATGGATTTCAGTCCAGCAGACAGTTTTCTCAGCAATCCTCCGTGCTTACATCTGGTGATCATTTATAGCAGAACACTGTCCTGGATTACTTTCTTGTGGGTGTAGTTTTCATTCCTCTCAAATTGTGCAGAGGGTTTAAGTATGTAAACATCAATTTGACTAGATACAAATATATGTTTATGGGTTCCTTTTTCAGTGTTGCTAATGTTATACAGCAGGCTGGATGTCCTGTGCCAGAATACATAAAAGGTTTCCAAAAACTACTAAGGTACAATCTTGAATTTGCCTAGATGATCTCTCTCTCTCTCTCTCTCCCTCCCTCCCTCCCTCCCTCCCTCTATCCCTCCAAATGCATTCTTGCTTTCACACTCTTACAACTACAGTTCTAGCAATACTACTCGTTTTAGAAATTCTAAGATAAAAATTTTCCTTTTTAAATATCTGTGAATATGTTCTTTTCTTGACAGTTTTTTTATTCTTAAATTTTAATCAGATTTTTAAAAAATTATTCAATGTAAGTGAAATATGCTTAGAATTTATTTTAGTTCATAAAACTGATAAAAAGCAGTTAATTGCCCCAAATCAAACTTTAATGCTTGTTGGCACAGGATATAAGTGTGACTTAGGACATATTTTATTCATAATCAGTGCCTTTTTAAAAAATTGATCAAATTTATCATCCCTTTGGGTTATCTCTCTAAATGCTATTGGGTAATTTAGCATTTTAAATTGGATATAGTGTCACCACAAACCGTAAGTAGATTAAAAGTGAATTTTTGTGATCAAGAATCAAAACTACTTTTAGCTTAAGCTGTTTTCAATTAAGTTCTACTGAATTTCATTCTTTTCTCTTTTTATAACTTTCAGCAAACAAAAGAAAAAGATGATTAAGAAGCCATTGGAAAGGGAGAGCATTAGTACAACTCCAAAATATTTCTTAGAAAAAGCTAAGAATAAACGGTAAGTATATGATGACTGTTCAACTCTGTCATATGGTTATAGTAGGCATTATTTCTCCTTAGGATAAATTTTTCGAGGTAGAATTGATAGGTTCCATCAGTTATAGAATGTAATAAAAGTAATATATTTTAGGTTGCCTGTGATTTGGGAACTTGGATGATTCAATCTCGGAATTTTTCTCTTATCTGTATATTAATGATCTGGTTTTTTCCATCTTTGAAAGAATGATTTCAGTTCACTTTGAATTAGAATTGCACTGCCCACCACCTCCACACAGCCTACTTCAGGACATAGTGCTGAGGCATTGAGGGCTGTTGACTCACATTGATGGAATCTTCCTAGAAGGCTCCCTATTCTAGGCAGGATTTCAGTATAATCTTAGGCTTATGCTGAAGCACATTGTAACACCTCTAAAAAGTATGACTTGAATAAATTTGTAGTAGTTTAGCTGAGTTTTAGGAGGATGTTAAAGCATTGTTGTTTTTTTATTTTGTTTTGTTTAGTATATACACAGGACTACCTTTTGATAGGGGTAATCAAGACTGTGCTAACCTCTACTACTCTTTACACTATTTAAGGAAAATGACACTTCAAATTCTACCAATACCAGTTTATATCTAATATATATAAAATGTAGGCATTTACCAAGTACCTTTTCTCCTGCCAGGTGCTTGGGTATGTGAATGAATCTAAAATGAGACCCCTTTCCTAGTATACATTAAAAAACATTAGAGAATAATTTTTAAATAAAGTAGAAGTTTGGAGATGACAAATACTCTGAATTGGTGTAGTTACAAAAAGCTTCAAGGAGCTAGAACTATCTTTAAGGACAGGTAAAATTTAGGCATATGGAAGGGACAAGGTGAACAAAGGCAGGAAGACTGGCATGGCTTTCCATCTAAGTGGAACAAGTCTTACTTGATATTTTGTATTGACTGTGAGAAGTATAATGTTAAATTCAAGGATTATAGAGTGTACACAGTGTCCCAAAGTTTTAGTGCAGTTTTAAGCTTTAATAACTTGGGAAGAATAAATGCAACAAACTTACAAAAGTATCATTTGAAAGCTTAAAACATTTTAATTGTATCTATACGTACTCATTTTTGTTAGTTCTTAGTATTAACACTTTTTATTTTACTTTTTTGTGGTAACAGTTTCTGGCTGACACTTAAACCAGTGGATTGGTAGAGATGGTCACCCTGCTTGGCCACCTTGGTTACCTGATCTATTAGACTTTTTCTTGTAGCTATATCAGAACTGTTGTGTATGCATCAGAACATTATTCTGTGGGTGATCTTAAAGCTACAATTAGAAATGTAATCTCTTCAGGCACTGAGCAGCAGCTGATGAAAGTTGTAATAAAAAGTCAGAAATCACCTATTGTATTAAGATGGTGGCTATGTTGAATTTTAATAAGAAACAATATTTTAAAGAATTATACTTTTGATGTTGATTTTTATACGTTTGTAGCATTTATACTTGAGGTGTGAAAACTTAGCTGCACTGAGACTTCGAGGACACTTGATATAAATCTTGTCACCTAAGCCCCCCATTTAAGATGCTGTGGTCATCTCGATTGTTTCACTTTTTTTTTTTTAAGATTTTATTTATTTGACAGAGACATAGTGAGAGAGGGAACAGAAGCAGGGGGAGTAGGAGAGGCAGAAGCAGGCTTCCCCCCAAGCAGGGAGCCCGATGCAGGGCTCGATCCCAGAACCCTGGGACCATGACCTGAGCCGAAGGCACTTAACGACTGAGCCACCCAGGCGCCCCATCCATTGTTTCACATTTAAAAGCCATCCTCCTTAATAGAGCATGTAAACAACACCTGATCCAACTCCAGTTTATCTTTTTACTCTAGATGTTCCTTTAATGATCGTACCCACACCTTGCTGAGAACTCTGAAGTCTGTATCTCCAGGCCCAGCTTTCCATACACACCTGAATCCTCTTGCCTAGTGGACTTCACATCAGGCACTACAAACTCAGTCTGGTAGAGTGGAGGGAAAAATTGGATTTGGAGTCCGAAGGATTGGCTCTCATATCACCTTTTCCTGTGTGACTTTGAACAAATCACTTCCCCCTGTATATGACAGAAATAAGTATGTAAATCATGCCAACTCTGCTACTCAAAGTTGGTTGAGGATTAAATAAGTTAATATACATCCAGGAACTTTACATGACTAAACTGTAGAATGCAAACACTGGGTATTTTCTCCCAACATTTTTCCTTTTCCTCTGTTAACTTAATTGATGGCATTTACCAAACTCTAAAATCAGACTGTCAGGGTTCATATCTAACATTTAGTATCAGTGTGTGATGATCAGCAAGTTAATCAACTATTCTGCCTCATTTTCCTCATCTGTAAAATGAGGGTAATATTAGAATCTTCTTCGTAAGTTAGGAAAATTATCTGAGCTGATTCATACAAAGCACTAAAACAGTATCTAGCACTTAATGTGAACTCTTAACTATTAGTAATGTCAGAGTCAGACTCCATCTTTTATACCATGTTGTGTAGTTTACGATGATGTTTCTGTCTCGCTTAGGTGAGTGTGGTTTCCTAAAGGGCAGAAACCATGTCTAATGTATCCTTGTGTGCCTAGTGCCTCGTATACTTGATTATACAGGTTTCAAGAATTGTTTGTTAAACTGGCAGAGTTTTAGAAAGTACATATATCTAGAATTTTGGATTCAACTTTTCTTTAATTTTCTTGTCACAGGAAAAACGTCACTGGTCAGAACAGCAAGAAGAAAGTAGCTCTTGAAGACAAAAGTTAAAAACGGACTTTTAAAAAGACTGTATCAGAAACGGAATTTTATGATCCCAGCATGAATGTTGTTTTCATGAAATACTTCAAATCCTGTAATCACCTGTAACATTTGAAATCAACTACAAGAACGTGGGACTGATGAAAAATGATGCTAAACTATCAATGCATCATGTCAGATTTCAATTTGTAGGTGACTTTTAAATGATTACACAATGGAAATAACATTCATTCACATTTCTGTGGTGTGAATCCAGAGAGATACTTCTTATAGAAGAACAAAAGCTTATGCTAAAATTAACCACACCCAAATGTGAACTCTTAAGGATTTTTTCCATCAGTGTGAAGGAAGGTGTGATGTATGCTGTGGAGAGGCATCTGGAACCAAATTTCAAAATGAAGCCTTGAGATTAAATGCCCCCTTTCACCACCACCCTCACTTTTTTTTTTTTTTTGAATGGACAAAAAGCAGCACAGGCTGTCTACCAAGAAGAGACCTATTGCCCTCTTTATTTTACTATTTCTTAATTAGTTGATGGCCTTTTGTGGTAATGAGCCACAACAAAGAGCCTCTTTGGTTACTCAAGTTCCCTAGGATTTTAAATTCGTTGGTCTGTTAAATATCCTTATACCTCATCGGTAAAAGAGCTCATACCTTACCTTTCATAATGTTGCAGCTACAAGATTATGGTCAGCCTCTCTCTTTCTTCCATTTTCCATCATTTAGTCATGCTCCCCGTCTCTTTCCATTCAAGATGACTTTGCTCGAAAACTGATAAACACTTTATCCTGATAAGGAAGAATGTTCCTGTTACTTGATACGCCTGCGGCTGCATTCTCTTACAGCTTGTCTTTCCTGAGGCTTTATGGCCCTGCATCCATTTAGTAAACAGGTCTCTGCCAAAGGTAAAGAGTCAAGCTTATACAGTGATGGAGACTATTCACTATTAGCAGATTTTTCTTAGTTGCTAGTTTTTGTACAGGTGGAATAAAAAATTGACTTCATACATGTAAGGTACTTAGAATGGCACCTGACATGAAGGTAGTTACTACCAGTACTACTACAATACTGTAATGTAAACTTATCTTAGCAGCATTTGAATTAAACATATTAATTTCCTTTATTCTCAGCCTTTTATTCTAATGTCAGGACAGACTCCAACTTGAATATTTTAAATGAGACAAATTGTTCTGAAGATCTTCAGAATTTATGTAAATAGAGACCGTATGCTACAAGGTACAAAAAATACAAGCATGTGATTTTTTTGTTGTTCTTGCAAACAGATTCTTGACTCTATATCCTGGAGGTAGTTGTGATGGTGCCACCTATTGCCAACTGTATGATTTTGAATAGGTTCTTTAATTCCTCAGAGCTTCGGTTTTTTTATGTATGAGATTGGGGGTAATACCAATTATGAGTATTGGAAGTGCCTAGCTCTGTGCCTGACACGTTATAAATTAATGCTAAATATTCCTTAAAGAAACATGATGTATTTGGTTAGGAATACAAGGCTTAATAACACAGTCTGTGCCCTTAGAGTGTAGTGGTGGGTATAGAGTAAAGGAACAAATAGTGTGGCAGGCAAATGCTGTGTTAGACATAAGGCCAAGATGCTGAAGCATCAGAGGATGACATCCGACGTCATGGAAGGCTGACCTCCTGTGCTGAGTCTAGCAAATGTAGGAATCCACAGGCAAAGGAGAACAAAGTATCCTGGCAGAAACAAGAGATCACATCTTCTATGATCCTGATATACTCCCTTCATTTGACTTTATTTCCTCTTTTTAGTATTTCCTCCTGTGTAACTACCCATCCTTAAATAACAGTGGCTATATACACCAGTATTAACTTGGTGTGTCAGTGGATTAATACCGAATTTAGCACTTTTATATCTGTTGGGACTACATGCTACACAAATTTCAGTTTCACCTAAAGAAGAGAAATGAAATTAGTAGACCATTGTGAAAAGAGAATACATGATAGTTAAATAGCTGTGCTAGTGAAATGAGTAAGGACTTTTATGTGAAACACCTGGGTTTGAATCCTGGTCCTGCGGGCGAAAACCGCCATAACCGCCACAACCCTATGCAACCCTATGACCGGGGCAAATTACAACTTCTTTTGACCTTAGTTTTCTCATCTGCAAAATGCCAATACTAACTCTTAGGGACACTGAAGACTTTGAAAAAATTCAGTAAGGTTCCTGACTAGTGATTTGTGCCCAATAAAAGATAACTATTCTTACAAATGGTTTCCCTGTAAAAGCCTTGGGGCAAGAGTGAAAGATAAAGCTAATTATAATTAATCCACTACTTGCTAATAAGCAAACTGCTTGAAGGCTTGAAAAGGTTTACATTGGACTTTCGTATTTTACTTAACAGTAGTTCGAGTACGGGAAAAAAATATGCCCAGATTTTATATATTTCATATAATATATCCAGATAAGTTCAGAGTAGTGATGAACTGCTTTCCAAACACCGTTTTGCCCCTGCGTGCAAGTATAGGAAAAGCAGGGATTATTGGGTGGCATGGTGGCAGAACCAAACGCATGGAACGGTGCGCGTTGAAGGTTTTATATACAGGCTAGGTTTATTTGCGCTAGGGTGCTTCACTGAATTTTAAATACCTTCATCTTCTGGGGTGGGTGCCAAAAGGAAGCTGCCGAATTCTCGGGAAAAAGAGGTGATCACTGGTCAGCGCTGTAAAGCTATCAAAGGAGCGTCCAGGATCCACCTATTCTTTAAGTGTAAAAAGAATAAAATACCCGTGCACCCATCATTCCAGTTTAAAAAGGATTCGATCTCCCCTTTTCACTAACCAACCTGACGGTTTTTCAAACGGAGGGACAACGCTTTGCCGCTCGGCCGCCAGCCGGACCTTCCATAGGGCCTTGCCAGAGAATGAATCAGCTGCCCGGAACCGCCCAGGCAACCCCAGAACCAGAATCGCACTCGAAGGACCCCCAGCGGCGGTCGTGCCACGTGACGAGGGCGCGCCGCAATGCCCCCTCCCCGGGGCGCGGAGGGTCACGTGGGCGCACGGCTCCGCCCCGTCGCCCAGTCCGCGGCGTGGAGGGGCTGGCGTTTGCCCCGGAAGTGGCTGTCTTCAGCTGACAGCTGCTTGTAAGGTGGCGGCGGCGGGCGGGCCCGGAGCAAGATGGCGCTGCGGCCGGGAGCGGGAGCTGGCGGCGGTGGGGCCGCGGGAGCCGGCGCTGGGGCTGCCGGGGGAGGCAGGTGGGTGTGAAGAGCCGAGCCGGGCCGGGCCCCAGGGCTGGCCCCGCCGGGGCGAGGGCTGTGTGGCGGTTATGGCGGTTTTCGCCCGCTTCGATCCCTTTTCCTTTGGCACTGGGTTACGGGAGAAGGGGGTCCTCCGGGGACCTAGGCCGAGGGGGCGGGGAGAACTCGGCGCCCGACTCCTGTCTCCCAGGCTCAGGGGCACTGGTGCTGGGGCCGAGCAGCGAGCGAGAGCGTCCCAGTGCGGGGGGGGGAGGAGGAAGAGGAGCAGGAGGTGAGGGTCCGCTCGGCTGGGCTGGCACCCGGCGGGGGCTGGGGAAAGCAGGAACCCCGACGTCTCGCTTCTAGCCCGGGCTGGCTCCGAGCGACCAGACTTCCCTTTCCCAGGGCTTTCCGGGCTTGACCGGGGTTAGGGTAGTGAAGGCTCTGAAAAATCTGGTCACAAAACTGAACAGCTGATTCCAAGATTTGTGTGTGTGTACTATTTGTCTTCCCCCGTTTAGAATGTCCTGTCCTTTTTATCACCTTAGGAACACACGAGAAACAGCAGGAAAAGGTAAAGACCTTTGAATTAATAGAGCTCTTGTAGACGTAACTCTTAAGACTTGTCTCCTTATTAAAATCAAATCACTATTAAACAGCAGTTACACAGTTATTAGAACAAAGCTTCCGGACTTTTACTTAGTCCTTAAATAAATCTGTCTTCTGTCGTATAATAATTGCCTGTGGTTCTCATATCCAGGATGATAAAGGAGAAGAACGTCTGCAACTTGACAAGTTCATCATTTAAGGAAATCCTTTATTCGGGGAAGTTTTCACCCCACTTCTGTAATGACCTAGTCTGAGTTTGTTTTGTTAACCAACACATAGTGCATATACATTTGAAGATAAAATTAGCTTTTTATCTTCAGCATCCTAAATTATTTTTGGAAAGCAAAGTGTTAGTATTTTGATAGGCAGTGTTTTAATTTTGGAGTCAGGAACACTAAGCAGTGTGAAGTCTTTAAAGTTATTACTTCCTGCAGGTGCTTATATACTAGGAAAAAAGGGCAGTGGCTGTTGAATGAACCACCTGTGTGCAGCCCCATTTTCCGTTTCCTCAACACCTCTTTTACTTTAGGTTTAAAACTGTTTTCTTCTGTTTTCCAATCTACGCTGTTTCATTAGAGTCTTTCATGAATACTTGGTATGTCAGTTTCTGGCTGCAGAAGACAAATATGTAATCTATTTTCTATATGTGATGACAGTTTCTAAAATGTTCTTGAGTGGCATTAATTTGACCAAGTTTATGATTAATCATGGCACTAAGTTCTGAAAAAATATAAATTTGGCATTTTAGGCCTATGGGTTTTCTTTTGGTTGTTTGGTTTCTGTTTTTTGTGTGTGGGGAGGACCACGTGCAGAAAGTTGTGCATCATTCCCCTTAGTTTATAGTGTTTTAATGTCACTAGTCCATGAACACTCATTTTTAAAAATAAGTATGGCCTGAATTGTGATAGAGGTTAGATTGATTTTAAAATTTCTTTCATCTATAAAAGGTGGTTGGAGTAACATCGAATTCTAAAACTCTAGAGGAGAGGGACGCCTGAGTGGCTCAGTCGGTTAGTAGCTGCCTTCGGCTCAGGTCATGATCCCAGGGTCCTGGGATCCAGTCCCGCATTAGGCTCTCCTCTCTGCAGGAGCCTGCTTCTCCCTCTGCCTCCCGCTCCCCCTGCTTGTGTGCTTGCTCTGACAAATAAAATCTTTAAAAAATAAAAATAAAACCCTAGAGGATATATGGGAGAGAAAAGTGGCTTAAATGTTCCTTACCTTGCAAAATGTATGGTAAGTTTCCATATATTGGAAACTTTCTGAGGCCGAAAAGCTGTATGCTCAATAAAAAAAGAATATTACAGTTTTTAGAGAGCAGTGGTGAGGGCTGAAGTTATTTTATAAGGAAGTTAACATTATGATAGCCTAAGTATATTTTAAGGGAAAAGAAAAAGAGCCAGGCAATCTTTCTCAGCTTTTAGTGGAGAAAATCCAGGAACTATAAGGTACCATATTTCTTAGATACTTGTTTCTGTTCTGAGACCTAAACAAAAATCAATGACATTTTCCAACTTCATTAACGTTAGCCTACTTTTGATTGGTATCCTGGTTGGGCTACTTTAGAATAAATGGTAGAGTTATATAAAGGACAAAAGTTACCCAAGAGATGGGAAGTATAATTCAAAAAAAAAAAAAAGTACAGTGGAGAGAAAAGAATTGAAAGATCTTGATTAGTCTGTATCCTTCT